GCTTGTGATGATTCCTTCTGGATAGGTCTTGTGATTACAGTACATCGGATTGAGTTTGGAAAATACCCCATCCCATTGCCAATGATCTATGCTGAAAAAGGGGATTTTCTAAATACTTATCCAATAAGGCCTACCCTACTAGCTTCTTTCTACATCTGATTTAATTAAACATCTTAATTTTTCGGTCTATTTCTGCAGGTGACATCGATGCAACAGTGACGATAATATTAGGTCGTCAGCCTCGCCCCAACGGTGTGGATGCCCTCAAATGTGAAGACCTAGCAGTCTCCTTCCACGTGGGACATGCTACCATGAAACTGGGCAACCTGTTTGGTGCAGACGATGAGTTCAGTAAGTATACCTTTTTATTGTCTGGTATAAATCCCGATGGAATTGATATTAATATATTTAATCAGGGACTCCTACTTTAACAGTATGACATCTCTGAGTTTCTCAATTAACCATGAGCTAGAATAATTTCGATTAATTAACTACTGTTTTTTTATAAATAGCTAATTGCTGTCTTATCGTGTGTTAGTATAGCGATTGAGGCAAATAAATTAACATAATATCACGCCTTTTATCCTCGATGGGGTGCACATGGTGCCCCTGTACAATGTAACACCCACTTTTCAATATTTATGTTATGAGTCCCATGTAATAGGGGGTCAGCCTATTGTAATCTACCGGGCACAATTCCAGACTCCGTGCTACTACTGATAATTTTTAAAAAACCCAGTAGTGATTTGCCCGACCCGGGTATCGAACCCGATACCCCTTGCCCGGCAGTCACACTTGCGACTAATCGACCAACGAGGCAGTCTGAGGCAAATAATTTATACATTATTATGATAATGATAAAATGTTTATAGGCAGTTAGGTTGATGATTTTTAGACAGTGTGAATACTTTTTTTAGAGTAAAAACATTATTTATACTTTACAAGTTACTTTCCTAGAATCGATACACTTATTCTTGAAACCACTCACGTTCTTATATTATAGTATCGTTTGAATGTAATATTTTATTAATAACAAGACAATGTACTTACGTAAAACGAACTCTAATAATATCTAGAAGTACATACCTGTTACGTTGTACATAATATAATAAATTATTATGAACATTATTATATAAGGAGCTAGTTAAGAAATAACATTGTTAAGAATTAACAATGTGCCAACTTAATAAGATTATGTTTCCTAACTTGGTATTCAAGTTTTGCTGCATAATATTTTAAACCAGAAACATCTAGCGTTTACCTATTCGAATGAAAATACTCATATGTATGTTGTAAGTATTATTTGAATGTTTCAAATGAATGAAGTTATTTGAATCTAGAGATAGAAGGCTGGAGAAATATATAGGATACTAGCTACTTCCGCGCGGTTTCACGCGCTCTGCTTAGCTCTTTTTGGTCGTAGTCTGATGTTTTGTAGTCTATAGCCATCCTCGATAAATGCGCTATCCAACACAAAAATAATTATTCAAATCAGACCTGTAGTTATGGAGATAAGCGCGTTCGAACAAACAAACAAACTTCCGCTTTATATAATTATATAGGATTACTAGCGGACCCAACAGACGTTGTCCTGTATATCCACTTGAATGTATAAACAAAAATTCATTCAAATTAGTTCAGCTTTTTAGGATAAATAACCTAAACATCGACTGCAGCGCCGTCTGCCGAGCTGATTTGTGAATCTAAACCATTCCCAGATCCCCTTGAACGGACACAAAAAATTTCATCAAAATCGGTTCTGTCGTTTGGGAGAAGTTCAGTGACATACACACTCACAGAAGAATTATATATATAAAGATAGGTATAGGATATTGTCTCCTTTGACCACGTACATTTTATTTTCCTTTATAACACATGTGAATCCTCTGCTAAACTATTTTTTAAATATTTCCTAAATTATTTATAAACATGCAATTATTTCTTTGTTCCAGGTCACTCACTGAACCAATTCCTAAACGACAACTGGCAGAAGTTGATCGAAGAGTTGCAGACGCCTATGGAAGTAGCTCTGAGAGACTTCTTGAAGCCTCTAGCAGACCATACCTTCTCTACTCTTAATGCTGACGATATTCTCTCCAATTAGAGATTTGTGATGTTTTGATTTAAAGATCTCAAGAAAAAACAAATGTAAAATGTCTTAAATGTTAGTTGTTGTGTAATTTATTTATTAAACACTTTTTTAAATGTTTCATTTTGTTTAATTTTTAGTCTTATTTAAACATATTATTTTAATGTTGTTTTTTTCTGTTTGTAGGAATTGTACCATAATATATTTGTATAGCTTGTGTTGAAAACTATCAGTTGTATATAGGACTTGTAAGTGTGGCTCTTATATTTATTATTTGTTTTTTTTTTTTGCTATCCATCTTAACTGACTTTATCTTATTCATATTATTGACCAAACCAAGTATCTCTAATAAATAGAGAATGAAGTTCTACGAATAAGTATAATGTAATAAAACAAAGAAAACTTGTAAATAATAATATATTCTTACAACTGAGTACAGTTTAATCATCACAATTGTTATTACAAATACATACATATACAAATATTTAAACCTATGTCTTAAGTACAAAGTTTAAGTACATTTACAAAGTATCGGGTGATCACTTAGTAACTTAAATAAATAAAGCTTATGCCCTTTGCATGGCTAATTAACATGTACACAATGACATTACTTTAGCATCCATCGCTGTTTTTGTATCAAGATTTAGAGTAAATGTATCATCTGGTGAGTCAATGGAATATTTAAAGTTTTGTTAAAAGTAAAGTCATTGTGTACATTGTTGGCTACAATTAATTCGTATCAAAGACTGTTAGAGTATCGTCTAAACATTTTACTAGAAAATAGTGTATTATAAATTCTTGCAGTTTTAATAAAAGTCAAAAATTTTATTCGAAAATTACTAATAAAATCTTTGTAGATAAACAAAACTGAGATCTTTGAACACTGTCTAAAAAATCATTTAACAAACACGATGGTTAAATAGAATACTATATAATAAAAATATTCCAAAAAGCTAATAATCGTAGCAAAGTTAATTATTTGTACTATTACACATTCAGACGAAACTAACATAAGTCGAGATAAAGTCTATAAAACGGTGACAAAAGTTGTTGGAACACATCACAACACTAAACATACCAGGAGACCATACTTCTAATCTGTAAATTCTTCAATAGTACATCAATAAATGTGTCATTCCACGGGTCCAAGCTTGTATAGCAAGAGCTGATTAAGACAGAGACCAAATTTTACGGATTTTTTGAAAGCTATAGACGTCGACCATTACAATATTTCTGTTTGGTATAGGATACAAACCGAGCTGATGGATCACCTGATTGTAAGCAATCGGCGCCGCACTTGAATACTCGCAACAACGGATGAGTTACAATACACCGTTGTTAGCCTTTTGGGGATTAGGGATTGGGATTGGGGATTGGTGGTTAAGGATTGAGATTGTGAATGACGATTGTGATTGGAGATTGGGATTAGGGCCCGTATTAATAAATAGGTCTCAATCACGATGTCAAGACCGGCATCAGTTGATACGTTCTCAAGATGCGATCAGCATCTTAATGTCGACGCTAATTAATAAACCTATATCCACACGATCTCAGGTGATACCGCGGTTTGGATCGAGGTATCAAGATTCGTAATTTGACACTCAATGAAATCCTGATGTTAAGACTTGTTACGTCACAGCGAACGAACTAATACGTATTTCGTTCATTGCGTTTAGTATTAGCTGTGTAGAACGATAACATTCAACTCTGTTTGCATAGGAATAAAAGATTATTTCCAGTTTAAATGGATTAAAATTTTAGGAAATTATATTACTTTTTTATATTGTATACATTATGATTTTTTTAACCATAAAAAAGCAGTGTTTATTATAAAGTTACGATTAATTTTATGACGAACGCACATGCCAGTGATTTAGCGTCACCTCATTATTATAATCTGTGATTCCCTTTCTCTCAATTGTGTAATAGGTACTTGATAATACAATCACAACAGTGTTTCGTGTTTATTTACAAGTTACTTATTAATCGATTGCCTCGTTGGCCGAGTGGTCGCAAGTGCGACTGCCGGGCAAGGGGTCTCGGGTTCGATTCCCGGGTCGGACAAAGTATTACTGGGGTTTTTAAAAATTATCAGTAGTAGCACGGAGTCTGGAATTGTGCCCGGTATATGGCAATATGCTCAGGCTTACATGGGACTAATAACATAAATAGTGAAAAGTGGGTGTTACATTGTACAGTGGCATAATTTGCACCTCTGCCTACCCCTTCGGGAATAAAAGGCGTGATGTTATGTTACTTATTCATATTCGATAATGGAGTCAAAAATGCCTATTCAAGCTAGCTTGATCTCCTGTAGGTATATATAAACTTTAGGTACTTATATAAACTTTAGGTACCTAATAGATTTTGAAAAGGCCATAAAATATCATCGTATTATTCAACTTCATCATAATAATTGATTTCGGAAATAATATTCTCAACATTCATGGTTCCCGCGAAATATTTAGGTACGAGTTCACGATATTAAGTCCAGGGTCGACTGAACTTAACAATCGTGGTCTTGATAACCATCCTAATACCGATTTTGAAACCCGAGTAATGTTTATTAAACAACACGATCTCAGGTGATGACAAGGTCTTAAACCGCGTATTAAGTTTTGTTTATTAATATGTCGGGATATCAAACAGGATCTTAACATCTCGCTCTTACGCTGATATCGGTTTATTAATACGGGCCTAGGAATGAGATTGGGGTATGGATTGGGGGTTTTGGGTTTAGTGTTCGGAAATGGGGATTGGGAATGGGGAGTGGGGAATGGGGAATGCGGAATGCGGAATGGGGAATGAGGGATGGAGTGGAGATTGTGGATTGGGGATTGGCATTGAGGACTGGGATTGGGGATTGTGAATTGGGGATTGGCGGATTGGGGATTTGGGTTTAGGGTTGGGGATTGGGGATTGGGGATTGGTGTTTGGTGTTTGTTGTTTGGTTTTGGGGATGAGGATGGGGATCGGGATTGGTGATAAGGATTTAAGGGAAGGATAATTGAGGATAATATAATTGAGGTCGGGGGGAATTGGGTCACCGCCACCTGACTCAAAAACATTATTCTATTGAAGAATTAACAAACTGAAAAGATAAGAATCCAGGAACTAAATAGTAGAACATTGACTTTGTTTATTTAGCAGTCACTAGTTTAAGGTGTGAGCCACACATCGATGGGGATTTTAGAGAAGGCAGCGTTCACAAACGCCTGGAAATGTTTAGCTATGGACGCTGAGGCAGCTGGCCTCATCTCCTCGATGATCTCAGCCGCATTGTTGTTCAAGAACTGATTCATCGCTTCACCTGGAATTTTATAGAGAAGAAGATAAAATTTTGTAATGGACCAAGACCAAATTATTATATGGGTTTTACTTGTCAAAAACGGCAATATGTTTTTTCTGATCATTGATAGAAATTATAGACATACGTATTTCCTTAATCAAAAATTATGTCTAAAAACCAAATGGGATTTTTTTAAGTGGTCAAATCATTGAATGACTCTTCCCCACATAAAAACCACCCCGTTCCTACTCCTGCACTTCGAGCCGGAGCCCGGGTAACCCGTTAGGTTCTCCGCTACTCCGTATCGGCATCAGCCCTATTGGGCCCCATCCGTGGTGGTCTGATGGCTCTTTGAGGCGCGCGCGGAACGGAACGCGCCATACGCTCGGGTCTGGTTCTGGTCGGGCGGCGAGCCACCCATGCTCGCCGCCCGCAGGCCCAACCAAATGGGATACCAGCGTTTATATACAGCGATTACTAAATAATCTAAGTAAAACTGACTTACCAATAACGCTGCCGTGGTTGACAGTGTCCTTCACCTTGAACCTCGAAGTCCTCAACTTGAAGTCCACCAGCAGTCTGTCAGCCAACATGTACTTCACGTTGTCTCGTGTTATCTCCTTGCCGAAGATCTTTGCGATCGCCACTACATCACCTAGAAGCATGATGAACATTGCACGTTATTGTAGATTCATGTGGAATATTATGATTGTTGCTCCCGAAAAGCATATTTTTAAGCAGATTTATAGAATAGGCTTCTCAAAACTGTGAAGATGAAATAACTAAACATGACTCAGTATCCTGAATACTGTTTCAAATCAGACAAGAATAAAAGTCATACCAAAAATGATTGAATTCCATGAAATTCATTTATCCTAATGAAATAAAACAATGAATACAAGGAATTTTAATTTGTGTTTGATGCTGAATGGAAAGGAACAAAAAAAATATCTAATGTCATTCAAGGTTTGATATAAATCAAGCTTAAATAGCAATTAATTAAAAAGTTGTGTGACCTTTTTTTTTTTTTTTTTTTTTTTTTTTTTTTTTTTTTAAGGGGGGAAAATCATCGAATGACTGCCCCCGCCTGGGTGAGGCGGGAGGGAGTGTCAGACTCTTACTGACTAAAAACCACCCCGTTCCTTCTCCTGCACGTCGAGCCGGAGCCCCGGTTACCCGTTAGGTTCTCCGCGACTCCGAATCGGCATCGGCCGTATTGGGCCCCATCTGTGGTGGTCTGATGGCTCTTTGAGGCGCGCGCGGAACGCGACGCGCCGTACGCTCGGGTCTGTTTCTGGTCGGACGGGGAGCCACCCATGCTCGCCGTCCGCAGGCCCGCGCTTACGGTGGCCGGAGATCGTCCCGCGATCCCCGACGCCCGGTGTGTCCTTCGCGATGGCTGGGTTGCGAGGAGGCAGCGCTTCGCTGCCTCACGCGTCCCGCCTCCTCCTTAGCTAGCATGACTGCTTCGCAAAAGGAGGAGACGGCATCCCAGTCCCCCTCGCTCCGCATCATGGCCCGCACTAGGCCCGGACGCGAGAGGTCGCCATCGCCGATCACTTCCCCGAGGACACGGCGGTGCTCAGCCCACGAAGGGCATTCTCCCACCGTGTGTTCCACCGTGTCCTCAGGGCGGTCCTCGCAGTGATGACACCCGGACGTTTCCTCCCGCCCCATCAGACACAGGTACCTCCCGAAACTTCCATGTCCGGTGAGGACCTGCGTCAGGCGGTAGGTGAGGACGCCGTAGCGTCTCTCAAGCCACTCCTCAAAGAGGGGACTTACCGCTGCGATGGCAGCGAGCCCAGCCCTCGGTTGCGACAGTCGTTGCTGCCATTCCGCCATGAGATCGCGCCGGAGCTCATCCCGCCACGAAGTTGTGTGACCTTAGCATTAAACTTTGACCTCAAAACATAATTTCTCATTGTCATCTTGGTCATTACTTACACAAATATGCTTATCCAGAACAAATACCACTTAAGTAATATAAATATGTGATGGACCCGGAAATTCTCAATGTGACCCCGGAATCATTCAATTAAATATTGTCTTGTTCACATGCAAAATAAATGTCTTTTGTGCATTGAATGTCAACCTTCGTCAACCCATTTTTTGCAGAAAATAAATCGTATCAACATAGTCATGCAAATATTGAGAATTCTAATTAATAATATTAATTAAGTCTAGAACTGTTTCCTAGTCTGGGAAAATACATTGAGAATATTGATTTCTGTTTTATTTGGAGCGAAAATATTTGCATGGGAATGGTACACAACATTAATGGGAATAACTGTGTCTCTTGTTTGATTGTTTTTATGACACACTGGCACACAAGTTGTACACACCAGAGCAATAACTAATTACATCCGAAACTTATATGTATAACGTTTCGGGATAGATATTGTCATTTTGAACAGATCTATAAATCTCCTGATTTCCTGATTGATTTCGGTCATGGTGGCCAGTCTGTCTAACTAGACTAGCCCACTACGCAGGAGATATTATAGTGTAGAAGTGTGTGCGCAAACAGATGCACTCTCTGTTCCCTCACTCTCTGAACGCGATGGCACGGCAGACTGACACGACCGGAGAGAGGGCAGGCGCAGGACGGCTTTACGTGCTTAAGCAAAGCGATTTTTTTATTTAAGACTGTAAAATTAGTCAATCCAATTTCAAGATACTGTATAACTTACCGAATGATGCCCAGAAGTCTCCTTGCGACCTGACGGGGAACAGCAGCACCTGTCCAGACACCTCGTATCTGCCAGTGATCTCGATGCGAGGGAGGACCAGACCCATGTCGATACGCAGTTTCTTCAAGTCAGACCTGCATACAGGAGTTTAGATTAATAAGAATTTTGTAGGGAACATTTTTATAAGGTAATTAGATTTTGTTTTGTATGGAAATGGAACACGTTGATAAACAGACGACTATTAGGTATGGGTCTGCAGTACTTCTTAATTCGCAATCAGAAGCTTCACCTACATACCACCAGCACCCCGTGATATCATGGCATCATAGAAAACCGACGTGAAACAACGCTTGCGTTGTGTTTCGTCGTGTGAGTGAGGTTACTGGAGGCCAACTACGCCCCCCTCCATCCCCAATCTCCCCGATCTCCGAATCCCCAATATTCCTCAAACTCCTAATCCCCAATAGGCCGAATAAGGCATTTGTAATGCCTCTGGTGTTCCAGTTGTCCATGGGCGACGCCGATTGCTTACCATCAGGTGATCCTTCTGCTCGTTTACCGACTTAACCCATAAAAAAGTCTTGTGCTGAAACCTATAATTATGTTTATTTTTATGATGGTTCATGTCTATATTTAGTTAATTTATTTAGATTAATGCCACCAAGGAGACCAAGCATAGCCATAAACGGTAGTTGAAGTGCATTAAGAAAATATCATTTTATAAATTGCCGAGCTGAGATGAACTGCCTTCTAAAGCGTGATAATTTAAGTAGAACGAAATGAACTATTTTATCTGGCCCTTTGTGCTAGGTTTGAAGTTACAAAATTCGGCCTTTACGCTCGAATTGTCTCACGCTGCTACTCCGAACTTGTGAAATGTTTTGTTTTCTTAATTCTGCCATTATGTTAAACTTCTCACCGTTTTAAAAGTCTAATGCAATGTTATCTTATTTTGTAATGTTGATTACTGTTATTTGGAGATTCTTTGTTTGTAACTGTTTAAGATTATTGAAATAAACAATGTTCTAGTAATACGTGTAGTAAGAGTAAGAAAGAAGAAATATGGAATAACGTGTTTTGTAAATCGTAAGCATATGCAACTATTAAGGCGATGACTCATATACCTTACTACCGAGATTTTGATATTTTATGGCAGGTAATTATGTGAAAGATAAAGTATAACTTATTGCTAGATAGAATGACCAGCTAGAGATTTAGTTTAAAAAAATAAAAAATTGTGATTTAACAAGTATTATTAAGATGTCTTTTTTTATAAGTAAACTTTTTGCTGTAATATCCTGTTCTTTGTTTAATGCATATCATGGCAGCCTCTAATTTAGGCTACACTACACAGTGTTAAAATATGTTAAAAACCTATCATGTATTTTGGTGTATGCTTTGTTGCCCTTAAATAAATAAATAAATAGAGATTAAATAGTGTAGAAAGGTGTAGTGATAAAAGACGTGTAATAGTCAATAAGTGAATGACCTGTGCGTTTATGGACATTCGATTTGTTATTTTAATAGGTTTGCGCTTATTCACACATAGAACAAATTTGGTACTGACTCGACATCGACTGATGAATAGACTGAACGTCTTCTATATTATCTGAACTCTCCTCAGATGCATAAATACGATGAAAGTTAGAAGTCTTATCAGCAAAATGTAAATCAGTTTCTGATGATCATTTTCTAGAGTAAAATTATAATAATTTTGGTAATATCGTCAACTGTAATGATCACATATATTACGAAAACTTGTCGCAATTCACTTGACTCACTATTAAGGCGTCTCTTACAACATTTTGGCAATTTTTACACTTATCTCTTGCCAATAGCGAATACAGACTTGACCTGGTTTTCCTACTCTTAAAAATTTTCAGCTCACCACGAAATTAACGTTTCTAATTAAACATTTCGAAATGTCGCCTTGTCCTATAGTTCTAGATTTTTTGATTAGACACTGTTTTCTATTTTAAGAACTTTACAGCAAGTAATATAAGTAGACTTAATCTACGTAAGACAATTAAATATTTTTCCAAAACTATTCGGTTCTGAAGATAGTAATTAATTTTAATGATAAAGTTACATTAGACAACAGATATTTTTTAAAGTGCAGCACGATTAATGTGATTGCTATGCACTGTGCATAGCAATCACATTAATTGTGGTTATTATACGTATACCTACACACAATGATTTTTTTTAAGGGGGAAAATCATCGAATGGCTGCTCCCGCTGGGTGAGGCGGGAGGGAGTGTCAGACTCTTACTAACTAAAAACCACCCCGTTCTTTCTCCTGCACGTCGAGCCAGAGCCCCGGTTACCCGTTAGGTTCTCCGCGACTCCGCACAATGATAGACCCATAGATATAACTTTCGCCTTAAAAACCAGCATAGAATTACATAAAGTGTAATATGGATATTCAACTAAACTTATAACAATAGTCTTACCTGATCTTAGTAATGGTATAATTACTAGGTCCAATAACAGTGATGTTGCTGAATGCAGCAGTGACCCTGACTGGACCAGCATCGTTCTCCATCACCAGCCGGTCGATGAAGAGTGGTTCCACAGGAGGTACGCCCAGTTCTGGGATACCCCTCGACAGGTAGGGTCGAAGGTGGTTGAAGGAGTTCTTGATACAAGTGTCTAGTCCAGGATCCGTTTGACTGCATGGTAGTATGTATTCCGCTGGAAAATAGAGAAGGGATTTGTTAAAATTGTGTTTTAGGGTGAGAGTTTTTGAAATTGATATTTGTAAGACAATGGAGTAATATATAATTCTGTTTTGTGCATATCATGAAAAGGAACATCTGATAATCTAATTTATTTATACTGGCCAATAGTTTCAGAGTAATATACCGAACAAAAAGTCGTTCGGGACCACCCCTTCCTACAAAATAACATTTAAAAACTTACACAATCAATGCAATTACTACTAGTCATCAAAATCTAGACAGCTAAATTACAAGAGATTGCAATCAACATGCACAGCGCAGGGCATGTTTAATGACAACACTCTTGCTCTCGGCGCATGCGCCACCCAAATCGAGACGTTTCAAAACATAGTATTTGCATACAAACATAAACAATGCATACATAAGCGAAGTAACTGTTACGTAAAGCACACAAGGTGAGGCTGACCAATCACGGAACTTTCCAATATTCTCGCGAAATTGGTAAACTTCTTAAAAATTTGTAACACTAGCCCTTTCTTAATAGTATACTTGACAAGGAAAGTGTTCCTTCTGATATGATATATAAGTATCTTATGAAGCTTTGTTCTACATAATCGTTTAGGAACAATAATTCTTTTATAAACTACGGTTGATGAAACAGTCTTTAGTCCCTCTTTTTTGAAGTTTGTTACCATTAATACTTATACTGAAACCTTCTCTCAAGTGTAACAAACTCTTTTCTGAAAACCACATCCAAATCGGTTAAGCTAATCGTGAGATAATTGGTCATAAACTTACATACATACAAACATACAGGTTAAACTGAGAACCTCTTTTTTTCGATTTGAAGTCGGCTAAAAATAATAATGATTGCACGGTTGACGCGGTGGCTGGGCAAACGGCTGCCGCGAAACGAGTCGCGGGTCCGATTCCCACACGGAACAACTCTTTGTGTGATCCACAGATTGTTATTCGAAGTCTGGGTGTCATGTGTATGAACTTGTATGTTTGTAAACGCACCCACGACACAGGAGAAAATCCTAGGGTGGAGCAAAGTTAAAAAAACAAGGTAAGATATGATTCTCTTACAAGTAGATTTAATTGTACAGGCTCTGTAGAGTACCAGAGCACCACTATACTCAATAATAAACAGCAAGTAATTGCATATCAAACGTCTATATAAAATCAATTATGTAAATTATAGTACCTAAACATACGGTAAATTAAATATCCTTATGTACCAAACATATGAACATAATACCCAATGTATACCTATCTAATTATGATAATCTTAAAAGCAATTCTCATCACGTTATATACTCGAATAAATGATTCAAGATAATATAGGGAATTCTTGGCAAGCTGGTATTGTCGCATAACTACATGGGTTAGGAATACGTGTGTGAACTAGGAAATAGCTAGGTAATGCATTTGTATGATCGTGTGAACTAAATATTAAGGACAGGCGACATTGTTGATTGAAGTCATTCAATCACCAAGTGAACTCTACTACTAACAATTCTTATTTACACCACGTTTAAAAAACCGACTTCAACTTTAAAAGGAAGGGCTTTTTAAATCGGTTAGTTACTATACTAAAACATTCTTCTAAATGTAACTAACACTTTTCTGAAAACTGCCTCAAAATGCCTTAAGCCAATCGTGAGACAATCGCGCACATACATACTATACAGGTAAGAGTGAGAACCTCCTTTTTTCCTTTTTGAAGTCTGTTAATAAATTAAGAATGTAGGTATAGTAAAAATGGTATAAGAACAGAGATAAGTGGAAGTTTTAATTACTCATCTCTAAAATACCAAATTAAGGCGAAAGAAATGCTACAATTTTGTTGCTACAAAATACACTTGCATTTTGAATGAATACTTGCGAATAAAGAAACAAATATCACATTAAAAGAAGAGCTTTACCTATCAACAATAACAATGCAGGAGGCATCGAAAAAATTCCACAATGCAAATTAAATACTATAGACGTAAATTTTCTCAACATCAACAGCATACTAGCCTACTGCTGGGCAAAGCCTTTTCACACACGGAGAAGGTTTGAGTATTCATCACCACACTTGCTCAATGCGGGTTGGCGATTACAAACATATAATTAGAAATTATAAGCCCAGGTTTCCTCACGATGTTTTCCTTCACCGTTTGTCAGTGGTGTCTAAATAATCTTAGAACGTACATATAACTCGGAAAAAGTCACAGTGGTACTTGCTCTTAGTAGGTTTCGAACACGCACCCTCATACATGAAAAGTGGGCGTCTTAAACCTCCGGGGCCACCACGACGAAATTTACTCAATCATAACAGAAAAAAACCACCAAAACTTAACGACAGATAATATAAAAATAAAATCGACGCTGAACTTGAACGAACTCGGCGCTGTTTCACAAGGTCATCAGTTACATAAGGCTTATATAACTTATTGCTGACACAGTGACCGACTTACCACAATACAGTATTTTAAGAAACACCCATACAAATTATGATGGAATTTAGAATATGTACATAATCAAATTGGGTGATTTTTGTGTGTTTATCATTGCGTCAGATTAGGCCCGATGATTCAATTGCAGTTTCAATGATTGTAACTTGATTGTAAACTTTTCAATTTGCTCTTGGCTCTTGTCTTAAATTACCTGTAATTTATATCGAATGTTTTTTGGTTTTGGGTTGTACCTACATTTGTTACCAGTTAGTTATAGTAAGTACTAATATTGTAAAGGACTATTGGAAAGGTTATTTTTAGTATTTTCAGCTGAGAAATGCATTTAAAGGAGGCCCAAGGTCCAAAATCAAGAAAAAAACAAAAGTTGGAAATGATACTAGTAGCTGTCACATCGTAAACTTTTCATCTTCTTGCATACATATAATCCTGTGGTAGAAAAAGCATATTTACGTAAACCATAAGTACTTGAGTACTTCACCGAGTTAGTTCCACTTTCCTCAAAGAGCGATGCAGTTGATCTATGAGGTGTTGGTCAAAATGCGGGTGTTGTAACGAAACTGTATCGTTCACGTAACAGCGTAACGCGGTATCAAATGTAATGTACCTAATGTAACAGTACTTGGTTCCTCTTTGTACTTGTGAAATATTTCTTACAAGTTACAAACTTAGGTTAGTAGTGAATCAGTTAACATTTCAGTGCCGATGTTATCAACAATGGTGCAATGTTTCTAAATTGGTCTGTATATTTCTTGTGTTTTTATTTGGTTATTAATGTGATCTTATTATTATTTTGATCAATGGCACAACATATGAATCACTGACGATGACTACAAGGTTTTTTCTTGATCTTACTTAACCTCTACGATTTTTGTTCACACAAAAAACACACTGTGATATATTTCAATTTTATTAGAAGCATTCAGAAGAGCTACTAGATATCTAACCAGTATCACTAACTACAACTCTCGTTGTCCTTGTAAACCAACGAAAACTATCTCCTTTACCCAAAATATGCGAGCTGGTGTAATAAAACGATTGCATTCCTCTCCCCAACACATTAAACCCGTGTGCTACTTTCTATCCGCTGACGAAACTATTTCGAGAGAAGAGAACAAAATTTCCAGCTATGTTTCGCAAAGTGTGACTGCAGCAGTAATGTCATTAATGTATAATGAAGGGGTATCGTCTAAATAAGTGAGCTTGCATGCCCGCTGCAACGGGGGAATTGATTGATGAATCTGTGGTTGCAACGTGCACGCAACCGTTTCAAATAGCTCGTGAATGGTTATTAATAGATTTATAAAATGCATTTTTTACACCCGTCTATTTATAATGATGAATTTGCTGTTGATTTTTATTGTTTTTCTCATCAATTTGACATTTTAAATTCGTCTTTGTACAGCTTACGTTCACTCAAATAATTCATATAAAGAAACGAAATGCTTATGACCGGTGTTGAACTAACAACTAGTCATCAATGGTGTAACTCATTTGTAACCACGAGGGACAGGCAACTTGCAATACTCAGTCGACAGTCCATACGTTTCTGACCTTTGACCAAACAATAATATTGATGACAAATCAAATGTTACAATAGAATTAATTAAAATGCCATTTTCCGCAACATATTGTGCTAAAAAGTGATTAACCCACATGTTTCCGAAACAATTTAAATTGTATTTCGCTTGACATTTATTTGCCACCCATTCCATTATATCATATCAGTATTCCAAGGTTGATCATAAAGCAGGGAGATCGTGAGGTGACTTGTGACGGGATGTCGCAACGTGTGATGCAACACCGGTGTCAAGGCTGCGCGTGCGCGGGCACGGACCGACTGACCGGTTACCTACGTGAATTTTGTGTTTCGAAAATACGTCACCTTTGCAATGTTGTGACTTGTGACGATTACAACGCTGTCTGCCAAATCTAGAATCGATTTCTACCCATTAACAAATAGTTGAATGAAATTAATGATAAATGTATTTATATTGACTTAGAATGTGATTAGAACTCTGAATATTATACTAATGCGTCAGTGTAACAAATTGGTGTGTAAATCATCGATGATTTACACACCAATTTGTTAAAACTTATAGGAGTGAAGAATTTTTATATTTTTATGCAGAAAACGACCGTTAAGATTTTAATTATAAACAAATTCATATGCAATTGCTGTTGAATAGAAAAAATTGTTGTAAAGGTCAAATAAACGATTAGTATAGCGCATAGAATGAATCATTCAGTACCAGTAAATCGCAAAAAAATCATTTGAAAACCATGAATATTGAATTCGGCTCAAAATTGATGATACGATAGTGGTAATGTGGTATAGGTGTGCTAAAGAAGTGGTCCTATTTCAGTTTTTGGCACTTTGGTGCTTTTAATTTTAGATAATTTAAAGGTCCTATCTCTTCGTTTTTCAGTTTCTTATGTATATGCAAGGGCATTGAAAAAAAGGCGAACTTAATGTCACTTAGAAGTGACTGAAGCACCAAAATGTCAGTAGGTTATTTATGTGTGCATATGTAATGGGTTAACACGTTAC